GGTTTATACAGAAAAGGTATGGGGATTAAAATTAAGGAGGAAAAACCAAGAGCAAACAGCAGGATGACTGTGGATATTGTCTGGGTAAGTTTCCTGGGTTGTTCTGGCTAAGCCCAGGCATCTTAGTTCATGTTCTCTTGAGGGATATGGGCATTAATGGTATAGTGTTTCTCACAATCACACCTTGTGGTTAAAGCTGAGGAAAGAGACAGCCCAGGAGCAAGGTGCCTGTTCCTTCAGAACCACATGACGTCACCCTGCCCCTCCCAAGAGCTTCTGGGAGGCCTGAGCGAGAAAGAGGAATGGGAGAGAAAGGACCCAGGACCCCTCCACATATCAGCTGGGAGACATCAGCCAAGTTACCTGCCCATTCTGAGCCTCCACTTCCTCATCTCTGGAATGTGGATAATAATATCTACCTCCCATTAGGGTTCCAATGAGGATTAGAGATAAAGAAAGTAATGCTTCTGGAAGAAGCGTAAACAAGGGAAGCCAGTATTATACTTTTCTTGACCAAAAGGGACAGAGCTGAAGTGTCCCAGAGTTGCCAGAGGAGAAGTCTCTGTGGCTCGTTCCTGAGAACCTGCTCAGCCCCTTTCAGGTGCTCCCCAGATGATGTGTGATAAAATCCCAGCAGATACAAACATGGGTTGGCATTTTTGTATGTCGTCAAAACCCCAAAGCCCCAATTTTTAGCCACTTAATCTTATTCTTGATTCTTACTTAGTCCAGTAATTGGCCCAAAGAAGATGCTCAGGGCTGGAGAGAATTGATGTGGTTTCAGGGGCCCCAGCGTTACTTTGGGTTGTGATTGAGACGGCCAGACACAGGGCTCTGCTTTGAGCCGTCCTCTTCTCAGTGCTCCCAGCCCCATCCCGAGCAGTCTCACCACCCTTGCGCTGCTCCAGGAGTCCACCCGTGAGTGCGGGATGATGTTCCCACTGGCACCATGTGCTGCGTGATCAGGAGCCGCCCAGAAATAGGACGGGAGGAAAGCAACAGCTCTTCTAGAGAAACACAAACGACCCGGCTCCCAGGGGTTTGGTGAAGAGCCTGCTCTTTCTGCATCTCCTCCACTAAAAAGCCCTATGAGAAGTTCAATTGCCCAGAGAGGTGGCTTATAAGAAAGCACTGAAGGAGCCAAATGAATATATTTATCCATTTTCTAAATTTAGACCAGTGAAGAGACACTGTTTGTGCTTGAAAGGTGTAAACATTAAGAAAAGATGAGAGGAAGCTGCAGGGCTTCAGAAGAAACTGTATCTCAGAGTATTGGGTGGAACAGAATGAACATGGACTTACCAAGGAGATGAGGTCCGGAGGAGGCCTGCCTGCTAGTCTAGGGCTGGCCTCTGGGAAGGCGTGAAGGCAGCTGTACCTATGCTGATCCCACCCCTTCCGTCTGGATGGGAAAAGGGGGAATCCTCCAGGGACTGATCCAGGGAGAGAGAGAAGATGAATAAAAGGGGATTTTAAAAATGTATTATGACTAATTATTTTCTGTTGCCTGACCTTAGAGCCAAGACTAAGGACTAAACAGTAGTAAGGTCCCTCAGGAGCCATTAGGTTGTGGAAAGAAAAATGAATCCTCAGTCAGCCTGGTGTGGTTTGTTATCCAGGTCCCATTTGGAGACTCTAACAAGTCCCTAGAAACCTGTTGGGTAAGAAGGCTCCAACCAGGAAGTGAGGGACTTACTGATCTCAGAAGGGAAAAGATAAGATAAGGATACAAGAATACATACTTAATGAGCAGTGTTTAATTGTGTTTCACTCCTCCTTAAGGTGCAAAATTCCCCTTTGAGTGCACCTACTTTCAGCTAAATCAATAAATGATTAGGTTGAGAATAGTAATTTTAATGCTCGAATATCCTTAAATAATCCTTAAGTGAGCAGACATTTATTAAGTAGAGAGACCTCAGCCAAACAGATGTTTCTCGAGTCAAATGATGCTGTTCCTAAGTAAAAATATATCTTTGTTGGAAAAGACAGGGAAGACCCTGAAATGCATATTGCTAAAGTGAAAGAAACCAGTCGAAAAGGTGACATATTGTATGATTCCATCTTTACATCATTTTGGAAAAGGCAAAACTATAGGGACAGTAAAAAGATCAGTGGTTGCCAGGGGTTGGGAGGAGGGAGCAGGGAAAAGATGAGTAGCTGGAGCGCAGGGACGTTTAGGCCAGTGAAATGCTTCTGTGCAGCACAGTCACGGAGGATACACGGCGTTGTGCATTTGTCAGAACGTGCAGGATGTACGGCCCAGCGTGAACCCTAATGTAAACTGTGGCTCTTAGTTAATAACAGGGGGTCGATGTTGGTTCATCAGTTGTAACAAGCGGACCACACCAGTGCGAGATGTTAGTAGTAATGATAATAACAGAGGAAAGCTAAGGGGAGGAGAAGTGGGGCAAGGAAATAGGAATTCCTTGTACTTTCTGCTCAATTTTTCTATAAACCTAAAACTACTCTTAGGAAATAAAGTCTATTAATTAAAAAAATTTTAAAGAAATACATACTCATGTAGTGAGTCTAGTAGCGTGCCAGAGTGAACTCATACAGGCCTGGGAGAGCAAGTTGTTGAATTTTCAGGACTTCTGCAAGCTGATTGTTAAAGCTATTATTAAAAATCACGTTATATAAATGAACAGTTAAGCTCAAAATAAATATTCAAAACTCATCAAAAAAAATTTTTAAATCGGCTGGATGACTGAAAAAAGCCTTCAGTATTAGAGAGGAAAAACTTATTTATTTCATTAATAAACATGTATTAAGCCTAATGAATACGGGACACAATCCTAGGCTCTGAGGAGCTGAGATTGGATAGAAGGTCACTGTCTTCACCTAAAACAGCCGCCACACCATTAGCCCAACAGCAATGATGACTGGTGTTTATTGAATGCTGTTTATGTTCTAGGCCCTGCATTCACCGTCTCATTTTATCCCACAACTGTAAAAGGAACAAATAAAGAAACTTGCATTTTAGAATGATTTGGCAAATAAATAAATTTGGGGAATTTAAATAACTTGTCCAAGGTCACCCAGCTAGGAAGTAATAGAATCAAAACTGTACTGAGGTAATTTGACAGCTGTCATACCCAGAAATTTCACGTGTCCCCACAGGAAGAGGGGCCCAGGTAACATGCTTTATTCTATCTGCAAGGCTGCTTTGGTAGGTTTGTTTTTAGTGAATTCTTGGTGTAAAGATATTAGAACAAATTTCATTATAAACAAGAATCAGATGTGGTATTCTGTCTCAAAAAGCTGAATAACTATTTAACTATAGACATCTATCAGATTATATAATTTGCTTTCTCCTTGCAGGTTAGAAAAATCCCTTCATTGCAATTATTGTTGTTGGTGGGAAGATAAAAGTACATTAATACAAGACAGAACTTTATAGCTATTAAGAATTAAAGTACAAAGAAAAGAAGTTGGAAAATGAAGTGAAGCTCAAATACGTATCTATATTTAACTTAGTGTGAATAAGAACATTAAACTTCACTGCAGCTTGAGGCCATTATATCTTTTCCATTATCCTGACAACACTGTTGTTCAGATCACTTCTAAATTTTATGCGAAAGAGAATAGTGAATGCGGCAAATCAGACAGACCCTTTCTTTCCCACACATGGGTTTCATATAACCGTCTTTTCAAGAGTTCATTGACTTAGTTATGGACCACCTTGAACTGGTATCGCCTTTCTCTTAAGCCAGTCTCCAACAACCAGCAAACACCAGGTGTAAGCAAGTGTCCTAGGAGTTACAGACTTCAGAGAAGTGGAAGCCAGCTCACAAGCTGGGAGACAAGCACACACACACATGAAAAATTAACTGTAGGTCTCACAATGGAAGCTAACATCACATCTTCCACAAACGGATGACAGATGCCTCAGGAGATGAAAAGAGCTCGCAGCAAGGTTCACAAAAGGTCTGAACCCACAGCCAGCAACATCTTTGAAATCCACAGCTCCTGAATATTGGCTGCCTGTCTCTGTCTCTGTCCACCCCTGCTGCTCTCACTGCCTACTCCCTCTTGAGTAATCAAATTTCCCTTTTGAAAAACCC